TATTGCCAACCAACCTATATAATTAATAGTATATTTTTTTAATATAATTATTTATTATATTTTAATATTATATTTTTTTCAAATTTTTTATTTTTAATAATTTTTTTTTGAACATTTTATCATGGGACCAGCTCGAACCGTTGCCCTAAGGGAGGGGGACATGAACCTGAGTGGCGAAAGCCACTTGGTTTAGGCCAAGTTCTTTATTTTTAATAAATTAATAAATTAAAAAATATAATAATTCATTAATATAAAAAATATAATATTAATAATTAAATGTATAATAATAATTTCAATCTATGATTATAAATGAACTCTATTTACCACGGGAGCATGAAGGGCTATCAGAAAACAAAAACCTCTGTAAACCCTAGATTAATTAATTAATTGAATATGATTTCAATTTCATTTCAAATGCTATGGAAATTCAGGGAAAAATGATTTCCCATTTCCATTTTCCAGAGCCCCAAATAGTTCATTCAGAATTGCCAGCGTACAAGGTTAATTTCCTCGAGAGAGTAAACCGAAACAGACACAAACTCCGGTTTTCCTACACCTTTGCATTGGCTTGTAAGTCGGACAAATCATAACTCATAACAGATGCAGGCGAACACACAAAAAGAGTCGTCTATTCTTCACGAGACCGGAGCAATACAAGTCCATGAAGATTCAATGGGGGTTTCAAGATTGTACTTGTGGGCGGGGCGATCCAGCTTCGATTTCTGTTTTTGGGTCTTCTTCCTTTTCTCCTCCTTCATCTGGCTTTTTTTCTGGTTCAGCGTTCTCCGGGTTCTGTTCCGGCAATGGTTCTTCTGCGTTTTTCTTGACTGAAGCAGATTTGGTCAGGTGGAGATAGCTGCCCTTCTCCTTGAACAACTGAGCAAAATGGTGCTTGCAGTAGAGGATGCCATCCAGAGCTGCGTAGGAGGATGGTGTGAGGAAGCAGCCGCCATGGGAGCACCTGAAGCATGACTTATGGTACAATTCTCCCTCCACGGACACCTGTTTTGTTCCAAATAAATTAGCTTCTTATTCATCAGTTTCAATGAATTTTGTTGAACTTTAATGTGCAAGTTTGAATCTTTTTTAAGTTTGAAACCAAGACTAGATCTACCTTCTCCAATGGGTATGCTGTTTTCTTGCAGATTGAGCATTTGTCTTGGGTGCCAGAGAAGAAGGAGGAAAGTCTGCTGGGAGCCCTTGCCTGAAAGGAAATTGAAATTTTATGTGAATTATTTACATTCAACTTTCACAAACATAAATAAATCCATAACAAACAAGAAAAATGAAAAGTTGAATTACCAGTCCGTTTGGTTTGTTCCCAGCTGAAAGGCCAAGAAGGAAGTGAGATATTATTAGAGAAATAGAGAAATAAAAGTGTTTGTTTGGTGGACAAGAAAATATAGGAAATTGAAGAGAATTCTTACAGGTTTGGAATTTCTTTGTGTAGCTGCCTGTCTCCTTGAAGAGCTGCTCAAAGTGGGGCTTGCAGTATAGGACTCCTTCCATTGAGCAATAGTTGCTCATCTTTAGGAGAAAAACAAAAAGTATGGAAAGATTATACCTTTTGCATTATCTTTCTACTTATTCCCAGAACACAAACAGAAGATAAGATAGCTGAAGATTTTCACATACCACAAGAAGTCCATTGCAGTGGCTGCATTTGAAGCAGGTTTTATGATATGGAATCCCATCTGCTGATACCACATCAATGAAATGAACCGTCTTCTCGCAAGCCTTGCATTTCTCAGTGGTTCCGCTGAAAACCATCTTTATTTTCTGTTGTATTGAATCTGAATGAAGGACAATCCCAGTTCTGATTCTATCTCAGAAAATGAGATAGAAATGAACCAGGAGATTTGTCTATCTCCAACAAGTGAAGGATGTGAAAAAGAGATGCGCTGCTTGTTGAGGATATGAAATCAGTGCCTGAAGACCCGGAATTTATACAGGTCTTGTGGTCTAAGAATAGAAGACAGATGAAAGTTCTTGTACTCTAAGAATGGAAGACAGATGAAAAGATAAAAGATAAAATTTTTCCTGACCTATGATCCTGAAGGGAGAGAAAGTTTCTAGTTGACCAGGTATTTCAGGGACTAGTCCACATATTATGTGGCTGTTAAGTTTTACTCTGTTTTGCACAGTTGGAATTTACTATATTTATCTTTCCATTGGAATAAATTGTATGCTTTACACTTCAAAATTGCTATTATAATTTCATCCCTACACATAATTAACCATATGAGACTATTGCATACATAAATGAATTCAAATCTACTAAGAGGAAACTTTATTAATAAAACAACTGATATCAAACTTGGTTTCTCATGTAAATGAGTCTCCCATATATACAGATAGATAGTTTTATGAAATATCAACAGTAGAATAGTTTCACAAAATAAAACAATAAAATGCTGTATATGAACATCAGAATAGGAATAGCCCACAAGACAAATGGAAACACTGAAAAACCATTTTCCCCTTCTTGGAATTTTCGGTGAAGGATCTTAGCAGCTGAAGCATCCAAGAAACTTCTTAGTTGTATATCCAGTTGCACGGAATTTTTCTGCTCTCTCCTCTATTTTGTGATATTGTTCTCCTTTCTTGGCTTCTACCATAGCTCTCTTTTCCTCTGCTTCCCTGTGGATTTCAGCCATTTTGTTTTTCTTTTTTTCTGTATATTCTGATTTCTTCTTTTCCAACTTTTCCTGTCATACAAGGCTTCTGTCAAAAGCAGTTCTCGTTGTTTCTTAAGATTGCATAAGTCAATTAAATATAGAATGTTACCTCAATCTTCTTCAAATCTGCCTCAACATATGCTATCTTGCAATTCTCTCGTGATCCTATGTCACATGTCTTCTTATATACCCTGCTTGACAATATCAGTATATGACGAATAGACTCAAATTAAGCATGTAAATTTGCTGTAAAAATCGAATTTAATTAAAGCATTATGAATGCATTTAATTCAGTTAACCCCTAATGCATACAGGCATTAATGCATATAAGCAAGCATATCTACGGCTCATAATGAGTGATGGCCATGTTCTCTTACTTGTTATCAACTTTTGCCTTTTCATTTTCTTCCCATGCTTTCACTAATGCATTTCTCTTCTCCGTTGCAAGTTGTGCAAGCACAGCATCTGAAACAAAAGCTATCACAGTTTAGTCAATTATTTTAAAAACAACTCATCACAACGTTCTAAACTAGATGCTGGAAGACTAGTTTTTGTTTACCTCTATCAATTGAACTCCCAGAACTTTTTTCCGGTGCTGGAGTTACTTCTGTTATATTGAAAATCCAAAATAGACAGTCAAATCAAAACTTGAGCAGATTCTGGAAAACCACACAACATGAGCAAATTTCAATGAGATAGTTAAGTAAAACCCTTCCAAATCCTTAAATACATACCTTCAGGAACTGGGATCAAGCTCTTCTCTTGAGCTACATCTTTCTCTTCCGCCGGAGCCGAGTACTCAACTTTCTTTGGCCCCTCCTCTCCCATAACGTATTCCTTTATCTAGGCCACAATCAGAGACTAAGGCACAGACAAGTTCAACTCCAACTGGCAGTTGCTATTAACAGAAACAACAGAGACAGAGAGACAGATAAATAGGAAACTCCCTTGCTAATGTAATCAGGAAACTGCTAGGTGGTTGTGGTAGGTACAAAGTAGGAGTTGGGTCCTGATATAAAAGATTGATTGATTGATGTGTTGGTTTCTTTTAGACTATGCAATAAAAATTTTCTTTTGCTCTTTGAAAAAAAAAAAAAAAGAACGTTTATGTTGCTTTCCTAAGGTGTGAATTGGGCACCAGGACACCAGGACCAATGATGCCTAAAGACTTTACATAGTTGGAGAAATCACAAGCAAGGTAGTCCTGAACAGAAACAAAGTAAAACAAAGGTATCCTGTTCCTTGAATATCTGTTTGTTTCCGCTACTAGAATAGTTATTGATCTCCCCGTCCCGTTGAATTTCTGGAATCATGTTTCTTTCTTCTCTTTGTCAGAAAGATAAAGATTTAGATGCAGTTGCTTTGAATTCTCTTTAGCTTAGCATGGTTTTCCTTCAAGATACAAATATCCTGTCCCTTGAAGGAAAGTTCTTGAGTGGGAACTGGGGAAAGACATTCATTTCAATTGGTGGATGTCTTACAATTCCCTTGTAAAATTACCCTAGTCCAACAATGTGTTTGGATTGCTAGCTAATGAGACATTGGTTTGGGGACTAAGGATGCACTAAAGTTATGATAAGTCCCAGGTTCTGAAATTCTTGCGTAAGGTTCCTGAATGATGACTTCCTGGACAAGTATGTTTTTGCGGTCCAAGTCCAACCCCAGTAAAGCAGTGAACTTTGATTCTCTAGGCCTAAGGATATCAACTGAAGGCAACTTTACTCTTTGCTGATAAAAATAAATAAATCACTGAAGGTGACTTTGCAACAACTAGGAATTCATTAAAGAACAGTTCACTCTGATCCAGTGACATTGAACTTGGGTTAAAATTGTTCACCTCATGTGAGTTGTACATTCGAACCTTACAAAAGCACTTTTTTTCATCCTTCAATTAACTTGTAAATAATTATAATATGTTAAAAAAAACTAGGAATTCATTAAAGAGAGAGAGGCCATGACATTGAGATTGAGATTTTATTGAATTTATTAAGGGAAAAGAGGTCATGACATTGAGATTTATTACGGAAAAAGTGGTCATGACATTGAGATTTATTAAGGAAAAAGAGGTTTATGACATTGAGATTGAGAATTCCCTCCTAAAAAGCAACCAGAATTAGAGTACATTTTGTTGGCAGTCATTAGTCATCCATTGTTTCTAGAACCACTTTTGGACAGGGCGGTGCTCTGGGGGGCGGATTTTTCAATGGTATATATCATTTTTTTTTACTAGCTGTGTTTGGATTTGACGAAAATAAATAAATAAAATTTAAAAGAAAGGCTCATTATAATAAAAAGTTGGGTTTTTTCAACTCGTCTTCTTGAAGATACATATTAAAGTATCTTTTATATTAATTATTATTAAAAAGATAAAAATTAATTTTTATTTAATTAAAATCATTTATATAACATTAATGATAAAAATAAT